TCGAAAATCAATTAATAGTGAAAGATACATCTATATAGGTGCGGAAAGAAGGTTAAAGTTGAAGCCATTGACAATTTCATATTATTATTAAGTACTAGTTATTATTTGGATTTGGATGAGACATTTTTTGGTACCATCTTTAGTTGAAATTTAATTTCAATTTCTGATTTAGACAAATTTGGTTATTGTTGTTCATTCAGATATAAAGTTTTAGTTTCTTCCAGAATTCAAAATTAGTTGAAACTAGTACCTTATATGATAATTGTTGGTACAAAATTTTGTTTGATGAATCGGAGATCCGCAGAATGATCAGACAATCAACTGGTGCTAAATTGTCCATGTTGTCTGCTGATGTGGAATATTTTGCCATAAGTTGAAAAAGTTTTTTTGGAAAGTGAAAATACAATTCAAATCCTAAATATTTCAGAGGCAAAAAGTACATGAGAACTTGTGCAAGTATTGATATGGAAAGTCAAAAGGCAATGACAAAAAAGCAAGGGACACTCGGTCCTTTTTGGATCCGTAGAAAGATCAGACAACCAATCAATTGTCTACAAGACTACAACCTGCTCGAGTTCATGGTTCAAGGTCTGATGTTCTAGTCATCGAAAAAGCTTCAAGGTGAGACAAAATATATATCTCATTGTCCTACTACATACAAAGACAGAATGGTTTTGTTCCATAAAATTGCATGCAAAAGGAATGTCAAAAATAAAGGAAGAAATTTTTTTTCAACACCCACTACCAAAAGAGGTAATATTTGACTATCTATTTCTTCTAGGCATTTATGTGAAGTTTGACATATCAATTTCGTCTCATATGCATAGATATGTGTCATGAGATGTGTATTGGCATATTTGACTATTTTGAGTCCATTTGTTGTCGAATGTTGATTGGAAGAAGTGGGTTTGTGTATGTATATATATACACTACCCATGGAATCGTGGAAAGTGGATTTTTCATAATTTTCTAAGAGAGAAAATTTGATATCTTTCGTATTCTAAGTAGAGAGTGAAAACTTGAAGAGTTCTACTCATCTTCACCGAAAGAAAAGCCTAAATCCCATAGTGTAATAGTTGAGTTTCACTTCTAGTTGAGTGGGAGTGTTCTCTTTTATTTTAAGGGATTTTTGTGAGAGATTAGACCATGTTTTGAGTAGAAAATATGGGAGGATTTTTATCTATTACATTGAGTTTGAACCATGTCGAAGTTGCTGGAGATTTGAAGACAAAATCACATCCTGAAGGAATCACAACAGTCTGTTATGTCGAAAAACTGTCAAGTGTTTGTTTGGTTCAAAGGGTATTCCAAGGAGAGTCGAAGATGAGGAGGTGACAAGCTGCCTACAACAACGTCCTATTTCAGAGCACAACCATTGGAGGTCGAGGCCTTGCATGCTTTCCTTTTCGAATGAAGATGCACTTGTATGCGGTAGGAAAACCAATACATTTAAGTTGGGTTTGTGGCTGTTGATTCGTGGAGTGTGTGTGAGGAGTTTTTGTATCTTATTTCTGCCTTACTCATAGTGGAATTTCCCTGGGTTGGTACCCCCAGACGTAGGCCGGTTGAGGGCTGAACTGGGTCAACAAACTTCGGTGTGTTTTTTGTTTCAATTCACTATTGGACGACACTTCTTGTTGCTTGTTTGTTGTTTGAATCTCAAGCAGAAAACATCACTCTGAACATAGCAAACATTTTGAGTTTGCATTCCATTCAGCTACATCGTTCAATAGTGATTAAGATTGGAGTTTAAGGTGTAAAATACATTTAGTGAGACCGTCAATAATAATAATAATAATAATTATTATTATTATAATAATTATTATTATTATTATTGTTATTGTTGTTATTATTATTATTATTTACTTAATTGTGTGGCTTCATATCATCAATTAACTATTGAACTTATTCATACAACTTCTATTACGTGGATTCGCTTAATTACTAAAGGGTTGCCACTTAAGTTCTATAATGAGCATGTTGTTCGTCTAAGAGTGGAACTATATTTCGATATTTCGATTTAGTGTGAGCTGATTAGGAGTGTTAATATTTTATTAAAGTTGCTTTCTTTTCTATTGTAGTATTTAATATTCATTGTTCAGTATTCAGTTTTAATTCAGTATTCGGTTATTCTGAATTAACATTAAGGTGAAAACAATTTGAAATAGGCATGTTAAGATCACATTCCATGAAATTTTTATCTTGTGCATCCGCACTTGATCGAATATTAAGTTATATTGATGTTGTGACAACTGATTGGTCCCATTGAGATAAATGCAATGATGACCGCTTTGATCTGCATTAATGTGATCTACAAGTAAGATTGGTAAAATACATTAAAGGATCTGATAGCTAAGTTTTTATGAGCTCATAAGGTTATACAGTGTACATTTATCCAAGTGGGAGATTGTTGGATTAAAAATTCAATTGTGGTTAAATGTAACTATTTAGACTATCAGTCAGATTAAGTCTATATTAAGTGATCTATTAAATTTATTGTGCTTAAATGTATTTAGTAAGTGTGGACCTCCTATGTGCATAAACTTGGTAACTTATTAATTGGGTGATGAAGTTAATTAATAATAAGAGATAACATATTAGGGTTGTGACCCCAAGTTTAGACGCAAAATCCATTACTCTTCATATATCATTGTGGAAGTAACGACATAAACCCTATTGGTTTTCTCATGAGGGATTGCATAATAGACTTGAAGAACACAAAACCCTCAAGTAATTCATATATCCGAATCCGCTTGCGCTAATGGAATCAGGTCAGATTTATTTGTTTTATTTTCTTATCTCAATTATTTCAACACGACATATCTTGGATTTAGGGTTTAATTTCTAATAAGTTTCAACAATCACCACAATAAATCACCTAATTATTACAATATTTATTCGTTTATGTAACAATCACTAAAATGATCTGATTGAATCGGACTTATTTTAAAGTGTCAGTTTCTTTTCCTTTTAGATCAGTGTCAAAATTAACCATTTCTAACTTGATCGGTGTTATTTGAGCCACGGTTGTTATTTTTTTGAATAGATTTAAACTTAACTTCTACATATCTATGTAGATCGGTTAAGTTATTTTTATTATTTTGTGTCAAAATTATTTCTATTCTTGTTAAATTGAGTTTGTTTCGAAGTTTTCTTTAATAATAAACCAAAAATCTGGTTCGCTTGCTCTTATTTTATATAGATGTTCAGTTAATAATGTGGACCTATTTTTGGTGTTAAGATCTAAAATTTTTTTTCAAAATCTCTTTAAATTTTGTTAAAATATCTTAAGATCTAAAATATTCAAATATTTTCTCGTTTGAAATTTGTAAAATCTATTAAATTTTTCTTTTGTTTTTGTATTTATATTAGTCGATTTTGTGTATATACATCCATAATTTGTTCAATTTCGGTAATTCTGACAATTTTTTTGGAGAGAAACAAATATTTTATTTCTGTTTTGATATTTTTGTTGGCTAACCTTTATTTTCAAAAAAGAATAGGCTTGTTTTGTGTTTTTTCCCTGTAGAAAAATATTTGTTGCTGTACTACGAGAGTAATCTCTATTACTTACTCTCATTTTACTATTTCATGTTTGTTTAATATCCGCATTTAATTTTTTTCGTCCAAACAAATTGTAAAGGGGGTTGTGCAATCAAAGTTTCAAAATCTTCAATCCTTAGAATTTGTGAGTGATTCTCGAAGTCCCTTCGGTTGAACAGTCACAAATAAATATTGTAATAATTAGGTGATTTATTGGGGGTGATTGTTGAAACTTTGCAAAAATATTTGAAACTTGATTATCTTCTAGGTGGATGTGAGAAATTTTTCAAGTGATATTTTGAATGGTGATCTTGATATTTGAAAGAAGTTTTTGAAGTATCAAATGATCTTCCAATGATTAAATCAAATGTATATTAGTCATAAAGTTAGTTTCGATCAAAAAAAGAATAAAATTGCACTTGATCGCAATAGTTATGCCATGAAGGGTTGTGTGTAACTCAGACAAACGTGCTAGTGGAAAGACCGATGATAAAAACAACAATGGTGGGGTTGTGGTGATCCCGAATAATGCTACCTTCACCTACCAATTCGGTGATGATCTTGAATAGTTTAGTTTTTAGATTAAATTTAAAATTTTGTATTTTTATTTAAATAATGGATACTATGAATGCATTAACTTAACACCAAATTTTCTATATAATTTTTATTACACATTCAATATATTTTTAGTTCATTCATTTAATTTTTTTCCCAAAAAATCTTGTTAAAAACACAATATATACATATAATATATTTTATTTATTTAAAAATTAATAATTAAATATAAAATATTTTCTTTTATATTAGTAATACCAATTTACATACCTTATATAAAAAGCTCATTTTAAAAGTAGTTAACAATTTTGATACGTTTATATTGTGTTTTTAAGTGACACAATTTTCTATAAATATTATTTAAAAAATATAATATATAATATATGTATTTTATTCATTCACAAAATTCAAATTTTTTACATAAAATATTATTTTTATATTACAACACAATTTATTTGTGTCTAACCGTGTAAATAAATTAATTTAAAAATTCTTGTGTTCTTTTTATCACATTTTACCATATTTTTACTATTTATAAAAAAATAAATTCAAAAAAATTAAATTAAATATCTATTTTTTATTTTTATATTATATTAAAAAATTATTTATATTTAAAAATTATATCAATATATATTTATATGATATCATACCATTTTACGATTTAAAATTTTTAATATTCAAATAAATATATATATATATATATAGAATGTAAATAATAAAAATTGTGTAAAGAAATCTTTCTAGAAAAACTGTTGCCGCACTATTTTGTAGCACAATTTTTTTTTTAATTTACTTATTGAAATTACATAAATAAACTACTCCTTTAAGACCGGTTTCAGAAACTATAAATAAATAAGTTCAAAAACGGGCAAGATAAATATAAATAAATAAATTCAATTTGAGCGGAGGGAAATTCTTCAGTTTGAAAATCCTTCCTCGTCGGAACTGAACTGAAATGAAAATGGCCGAAACCCTAAGCCCCACCGCCAAGCAGAGGACCATGTTCTCGCCGGCCAAAAGCCCCTACTTTATTGGTTCCAACGACGACAACCTCGAGCGCGCTCAGGCACGTGCCGCGCGCGCCGCTGCTATCAGGCGCAAGCCCGCCGTCTGTGTCGCCACCTCCGACGCCTCTGCGGCAGATCCGTGTCTTGAAAGAGACCAGATCCTTGAGTTGTTTCACAATTGCATCAAACTCGCCAGCGAAAACGTGCTCTTTTCGAATCTCTCTTTCCAATTCTTCTGTTAATTTACACAACCTTTTTGAGGTTATTATTATTATTATTTGGTTAAATTTATGTCGTTCGTGTTTTCAGAAAATCAATCAGAAAAACACGTGGGAGCTGAATTTAATAGATCATCTCTGCGAGATTATTAAAGTCGAAGAAGAAACTGATGCTGAGACCAATTTTCAGAAGGTATTTGTTCATCTGAAATTTCACGGCGGAATAGTGAGAAGTTATAACATTAATTGATGCACTAACTACAGTGAAATGTATTGAAGCTTCCAACTGTCAGTGGATTAAGGCAGTTTATTATTGGACCATTGTAATGGTCACCTTTTATCTATTGAAGCTTTTCGAAAGCTGATTTCCTATAAATCTGAGTTGTTGCTGGAAATGATATTTTAGAATTCCGAACTCTGAAAGTAAGATTGAGAGGAATTCAAATCCTTAAGTTGGATGATAACATAAGATAAAGCCTTAAGAATTTCATGCAGGGAGATGATGACATCATTCCTCAGCTCTATCCTCACCTCATGTTGCTGTGTTTTAATGATATGTTCGTGTTTTCATTCTTTCTGACCAGCACAAATTATCTTAGGAATATGGTTGAAAGTGATGGGATATGGTTCCTAATGAAGCATTATTATCCATCCAGTTTGATAAAAGTACACCTACATGAAGTTATGCCAGTGTTCATGATATGACGATGTTTATGAGGGCTTGACATCATAATGTGTGTTCATTCACGATTGCCTGACTGTAGGCCAGTTGTACCCTTGAAGCTGGGGTAAAGATTTATTCCATGAGGGTGGACTCTGTGCATTCGGAGGCCTATAAAGTCTTAGGAGGAATTAATCGGGTCGGGCAAGCAGATGAGCAAGGTTAGGTTTATGTAGCTCCGGCTTCAGATATTTGTTTGTCATGGTTCTAGTGTAGAAAAAAAGTGTTGATAAAATATGCATTATTTAAAATTATATATATTTCTCTCCATATGTACATGGATCATGTTTTTGAGCATGTACTTGTTGCAAGACCATTTTTCAAGAATCATCTATTGATTTGTGGCTCAACGAAGAAATCTTTTGTCGGCCATCTAAATCCTATTTAACTGTCAGTTCATAAATTGCCATCTTGCCAGATCATGCTGGCGAGGATGCAAATTCTGAACAAGGGGAAGCTGATGAAAAGAAAGAGAAAGAGAGGAAGGTTAAATGTTATATATTAAGTTACATCTTTGATTGAAGATCCTCAAATTTAAATTTTATTCACATTCTCAAAAAATGATGTATATATGCAGTTGTCACCTTTGTCTACTCTGGAATCATCTTTTTCTGCTCTAAATGTAAAAAAATTTGATGGTAAGTTGAATCTTTGAAAGTTATCTGCTGTAAATATGAAGTTGGTTCATATCTTCCCTTATCGTTTGGTTTTCCTTCATGCTCTTGACACTGTTATTATGTATACTTTTCAAAATGACTTTTTATTTTTCTTCTAGCTGCCTTTGTAGTGGACCCTCTGTACCATCAGACATCTGCACAGTTTGATGAAGGTGGGGCAAAGGGTCTGTTGTTGAACAATCTTGGAGTCTATGGTAATTGCCATGTCCTTTTTGATTCTTTGGAAGTGCCTGGAAGGTGTGTATCTTCCACCTCACAGGCTGATGGCTTAGAGACAATTGATCTGTCTTTTGCTAGAGGTATGCACCTTTTGAACTTGTATGGATGTTCATGTCCATGTATATATATATATATATATATATTTGTCCTGTAGGGAGAGTGTTCTTTGGCCGTAATGATTCTTAAATTTGTTTTCTTGTTATCTCAGATTGCATTGTGAAGATGGTGCCGGACATGCTTAACAGTTCGGAAATATCTCCAAGCCTAAGGGATATAGTAAATCACTTCGACAAAGATGACCAAAGGCCAACAGATTCATATTCATTAGATCAAAGTTCTTCTTGGCAAGATAATGAGAGTCCTGATACGAATGTCACCTTAGATGGTGATACTATCAGGAATTCCGGAACCTTTGACTTTGATTGTGATGACCAGACAAGTGTCGTTGATGATGGCCCATATGACGATGACACAAGTTTCTCAATTCAGCAAGAAGCTCCTCATATGGTAGACTTTTCATTGTTAAGAATTTCTGCCTACTATCACATTTTTTTTGTTTATTCGGTGTTTTCTAAAAATTGAGACGTAGTTATATACTTTGCAACTACTTATTTTCAGGCTAATGGAGAATCAAATCATGACGACCAACCTTATGATGATAAATTTGGGGATGTTGATAGTTATTTGTTCTTGAGTTTAGGATTTTCATCAAAGAAAAACGCATGGGCTGGTCCTGATCATTGGAAATATCAAAAAGCTCAAGGTCCGCTTTAAGCATCATGCTACTTTATTTTGTTTCTGTATAATATTCTTTCTCTTTGACATTGAATACGTACTTTTCCTTATAGATCCTGGGGAATCAAAGCAAAATGGATTGCCAAAGCCCAAAAGAACAAAAACAAAGAAAGAAAATTTGGACATTGATTTTTTGAGTGCTGTTGATAGTGATTTTTCAGATATCTTTGCGCCTCCAAAGAATCCCAAGTCCTTATTACTGCCTGCAAATAGAGTACCTTGCAACACAAAACTTCCGGAAGATTGTCACTACCAGCCGGAAAATCTTGTAAAGCTATTTTTGCTACCTAATGTTTTGGTAAGTTTGCACCAACTCAGCCTTTAGTTTATGCAGATAGTCTCTAGTATATTCACTCACCTTTGCTCTTTTGTTCTTTTGGGTGCATAGTCGCTGATATATTTTCTGTTATCTGTTGAATTGGGTACTTGAAATTGAATTGTGGACAAATTCATTATTTTTCTATGTTTTCTTATTGCAGTGCCTTGGAAAAAGTGGGAAGAAGAGAATAGGTGAGGAACTTATTAATGTATCATGAATTTATTCTTGTACTATATTTGGAAGTTGCACTTTAATTCTCACCTAATCTCACCTCCAGATGAAATGCATCAATCTACTTGTAGAAGTTTAGCGAAAAGTTATTTTCTGTGTTTGTTTGAGGATTTGGATTTTGGATTTGTACTTTCGAACAGTAAAAATTTGAATTTGAATAGTTGGTTGATGTAATATAAATAGATGTTATGTTATGTTTTGAATGTAAAATTGATTTGGTATTTGATTTGATATTTTTAAAGTGAAAAGTATTAAATTAATATTGAAAAATCTTTGAGAAATTCACAGAAGAACACAGCTGTCTCCTGAGTGAGGATACTTAAAAGGATGACGATGACTATTTGCTGTAGTTGCCCATTTGTGTAATAATGATAGAAGGAAGCTAGGATGATCACATAACTTGCATTACTCCCACTATCTTTTGCTTCATAGTTCATACTGTTGTTTCCATGGCTCTTTTATGTCCTTTCTGCAAGATATATCGTAAATTCTAATGATGGTACTGGTAATCATTGTGGCTAGAAGAAGAAAACCAACAAAGAGATGGATACGAAACAACAGCAGCGTGGGATGATGACGGCGGTTTTGGTGATACTTTTGATGATGGACATGCGTACAGTGATAATGAGGAACCGAGCACGCTCATTTCTCAACCTAGGCAGGTTGGTTTTACTTTACTAAATTTGAACTTCCAATTCACCTTCTGATCAAATGTTCATTCACATTAAAGGTATCGATACACTAACAAGAAGGTTCTGTTTAGACAAGATATTTGAGTTTTGAAAAAATTTAGAAATAGTAAAGTTAGAATTTGATGTGATGTTTTATGAGAGAATAGATAGATATTTGATTGGATATTTTTGAGAAAAAAGTAGCGTTGATGATAGCATAAAAAATTCAAAAAATGTCCATTTATACAGAGCAGAGCAGAGCAGTCTTTAGAGTCATATGGACATAAAAATACATCTAAGGGCTGTTGGTATATAATATATAGAGTTAGTTATCTTTATGCTAAATAAGCAAGATACCCGTACTGATTTCTGATCCACCTGTTTTTCACATCCGAATAAAAGTTAAAAAACTCAGTAAGGGCAGATCTTTTGTCACCCGAGTTGACAGAATGCGAATGTCATAAAGTCTTACCTGTATTGTATTGAGATAGGGTTTGCTTCATGTGTACAGGTGAATAAAATCGAGGTCCAGTACGACAAGACATCAAAACAAGTTGATGTTCAGGTTCTAAAGGAAACACTATGGGATCATATGCAGCAGTTGAATCAAACTTCAGTGGAGGTGAGTTGATTGAGCGAGCGAGCGAGCTTACTATGAATTTCGTTATTTGATCCTGTGAATTATGCAAAATAATTTGAATGACATAGTTGGAAGAAAAGGGTGGCATATCGTTCAAGCAAGTGTTGTCCAGTTTTCCTGAGGAATGCAGAGCAGCAGCGGCAAAAGACGACATCTCGCCACATTTGTGCTTCATATGCCTACTGCATCTTGCCAACGAACACGGGCTGACGATAAGCGGATCCTCCAATCTGGAAGACTTAACCATACAACTCAACAAATCCATATAGCAACAACTGAGGTAAACTCTCTCTCTGTTAATGTTGTTGTTGTTGCTGGTATTATTGGCTATGTGTAGATTGATTGCTATTGCATACTTAGGCTATTTGATTTAAATCTTATGGCATTGTTGTTGAGATCTGTTAAAAGGGAGGGTATGCATGCACGCATGCTGCTTCTCTTTCCAACATCCAATATAGATAATTTTTGTTTTTTCTTTTTTGGTCATATTTATTTGCATTTGGTTGAGCTTGTCTTGTGGGTGGGGTGGTATAATCAAACTTCTGCAAACTTAATATGCTCTAAATCTAATTTTCAATATGAACTTTTTCGGTCATCTCCGGTTGGACTTAAACAAAGCCAACATGTAACACTAGACTTTAAAACATTATAGTATATTTGAAAACTTTAAATTTCTCTTTTGAATGAGTTTTTTTGAAATTTTATAGTAGATTAAAAAGTAATAATATTTTATTAAGTAAAAAGTAAGTGTATATGTAATGAGTATATTTATAATTTAAATAAAAATTAAAGAGTATTTTGATATTAATATATTATTTTTTTTTACCAAAAATGGAAAGTGATTTTAAATATAATAGGTGAAAATAGTAGAAAAAATATTTTGAATTAGAGCTGAGGGATTATATTTTTTTATCATAAAATATGATATCAAATTATAGGGTGTGATTTGATTAAGATGGAACATGGCCGTGGTCAGAGTGTCTGTCCATGCTCTTTTTCTCACGAATAGCCAGCACCGCTTCTCCATTGCCGTCGCCTACCACCCACCACTATGACTAGCTTCCGCCCGACGAATGCTCGTCGTCTCCACCACCAGCATCGTCATCGCCTGCCCACCAGCGACGACTACATCGTTCTCTGCCGTCAGGCAGCATCGCAGTCGCCTGTCCACTGCTCCGGCCAGCATCGCAGTCGTCTGTCCACCGCTCCCTCCGACCCGACCAACCATTGACGAAAACATCGCTCTTCGCCGCCAGCATCGCAGTCGCCTGCCACCACTCCGACCATTCGCCGGCAACGACAACATCGTTCTCTGCCGAGACTTCTAGCCTTCGACAGTCTCAACTCTACGCCATCCCAACTCTGGCGACTCCACCATTGTTTCTGTTCTCTTTGTCCTTTGACTGGATAATGTATCTTCAACTCCTAGCACTGGGTGGGGCTGATTGGTCCAAGATTTCATGGAATAATAAGAGTTTTTTTTTTTTTTTTTTTTTAATAGGAGTACCTATTACTTTTAAAAGAAATAATATTATATTTATATAAAATAAAAATTAAATAATTTTAAAATTAATTATTATTTGAATTATATATTTAATTAAATCTATATTATTTCTTCTGTCCCAAAAGTATACTTATTGTATTAGACACGGAATTTAAGGAATATTAGGAATATTGATATTATATTGATAGTTGTAAAAAGTAAGGATAAATGACTTTTTTGTCTTTGTGAGTATATTAGTGTAAAAAATGCTGGCAATTGTGTAATAATAATGAAAAGGTAGGGATAGTTCTATGATGATATGGTTATTTATGGAAATAAGACTATTGTTTTGGGACGGACAAAAATGGTTAATAAGACTATTGTATTGGACGGATGAAGTATTTTTTATGGTACAATATTTTTTAAATAAATTAATAAATTCATTATTTAAAATTATTATTTATTATAAATTTTATTGAAATTATAAAATTATAGGTATGATAATGAGTCAAGTTCACTTGGAACTGATATTCGTCCCGAATATATATTGTTAGATCCCATACTCAAATTAGATCCGATTATACCGGATCTGATCGAAACTATACCCGCTAAGACTTGATGGATCGAAAAATCTTTTTTTTTTTTTTTTTTTGCCATTCTTAAATTTTAATTTAAAATTGCACATGTATTGGACACAACATATATTAAAATTTATGTATTTTATTAAAAAAATTTATAATAAAATAATGAATAAGTTAAACTCAAAAAATATTTTTAATATAATTATATTGTTAGAAATTATTTTTTTATATGTATAGTTGATATATTATTATTATATTACTCCAAACATGACCTGAACTCAGACCTAATACTCAAATAATTGGACTCAATTTCAAATAAATAAGTCGGGTCCGGTCGGGTCTTGAGTTTACGCGAATTTATTGTCATTCTATAAAATTATTGATATATTTTCCATTTATATTAATAATGAATTAGAGGTTTAATTTATTAAAATAAATGATATTCATAGAAGGAAAGTTATGTCATTTACAATATAAAAATTTCAAATCCTTCAACTCAGAAATATAAATTCCACATCATGTTACCAACAAACATAAGATAGTATTCCAAATCCTAAATATAATAAATCTCATCATATATAAATCATAATGTGAAATCCAATTCCACCAAAAACGTCCATGAACCAAACAACCCCTTAATCTTTTAAGTAATTGTTAGTCCTGCTCCCCTGTAATACGCTCTATTTCAACACAGAAATAATTATTCATATATGACTGTGTTATATGTAATATGGCCGATCGGAATCAGATAATACTTCACCTTTCAACTGCCATAATCCGTTGAAATTTTAAAGGTTGGACCGAAATCAATAATTTATTTTTTTATATGGAACTAATTTTAATAAATATATTTAAATGCGAATAAAAATGAAAAAAAAAAAAAAAAGAATTTGATCGGAGCTACTATTGATTTTTATTAAAAAAAAATTAAAAAAAAAAAAACATAGTTCAAAACAATAAAATTTGAAAAAAAATATTACTTTTTTTGAAAAAAAAAAAAGTCATTTCTGATTTAATTTTGACACTCTAATCAATATCAAACATATTTACCTAATAAATAAATATAGGTTGGTTTCTTGAATTCAACAACATTTAACCAACCTTTGCCTGAATAATTCCTTATTTATAGTGTAGTAGCACGATAGATACGATAAACTCAACATTTTATAAAGAGATAGTATATATAAGAAAGTAAGTATTATTATTATTATATGAATAATATAAAGTTGAGATGATACAAAAAACAGAGTAACTTACTTAGCTTACAAAATAACAGCACCACAATAATATGTATATGTATGTTGTTACTAGCTCTGGATGAAAAGGCAAGGTTTGAAGAGAACATTATGTAATTAAAAAATGTAAATTGCTAGGATGATTGAACCCTCCTCACATTCCCTTCCCCTTGTGTCCAACCCCTTTGGCGCGCCCTCTGCATCCACAAAGCAGTCAGCTGCTTCTGTGCTGATAAAGCAGTTTCAGATTTTTCCCGCGCCTCCTCGCATGTCTCCATCCCAGAATTGCACTTGTCTGCCTCTTTCTGGTATTGAGATGTCATCTTCTTAGCCTCGAGCAGTGCCATGTCAGCACGCCGTTGATTTTCCAATGCTTCGGCTTCTCTCAGCTTCAGTTCTTCAGACAATAGTTCGGAAAAGTTCTTCTGTGTGTCCTCGTTAACGTCTGGATCATTCCTTGTACAACCTGTTGATCAGATATGATAATTAAATTTTCTGAAAATATCACTCTAACCTATCTCTACTTCTGTCAGTTTTCTTCACCTGCTGAGCAATATAATGGAACTCTTTGATCAGTTATGATTAAATGCCAATTTGAATGATTTCGACGCATTATCTTATTCAAAATCCTGTTTAGTTTTTCGGATGAAGGATTGAATTTAGATTGGATCATTTTACCCTACAAAATGGTAAAATGATTTAATACAAGAAAAAGGAAAATGCAGGTTGATGTTCTAGGCGGCAGTTAACGGTACAGAATTATAAAATTTAGCACCTTAACGACAACAACACTAATAAATAGACAACACATAATGTAATGATGAACAACACAACACATGATATAATCTCCACACAGGCAGTACAAAATATATTTTCATATAACAAGCCTACAAGTATAAATAGACATCCCATACTTTCAAATAAAACAACATATATGCTGTGTTAAATGAAAACATGTTTCGTCTGCTTGTTGTTTATATACTAACTGGGGCAAGTAACTATCCCCTAATATCCTAACTGATAGACAGAGTTAAGGTTCGTTCTTACCTGAAAAGGAAGCATTACCCAGACCTGCAAGAAAAAACAAAAAGTTAAGAGGCAAGCTTGATCAAGTGACTGTGCGAAACAAGGAACCACAACCTATTATCAAGTTATTAGAGTTCATAGTACCAAGTATCCATAACAAAATCGATAATGATGGAAGGGAACATGGGAGGGGGGGAGGGGGGGGCACATATCCCTAAAGAGAACATTGCACTACACGACATAATACAAGAATGTTAAACAAACACCTGGGGAAATTTAAAATTATGGAACGAGGAAGTCCACCACAAAAGTTCCAAGGGAGCAAAGTAATTTATGTGGCCATATCAAATTCCTTGTGCTCCTTTATTATCAAACATGTAGCCTAACAATTAACCCGATAACAACTATGCTCTTCCTAAAAGCAATAATAAATGTGAGATTACTAAGCCCGGCGGCATAATGCTTATCACAATGGGTATTCTTTTGTGGCTGCTTGGCTGCACCCCAACTTTGATTACATTGTACACAACTACAAAAACCTATTTAGAGCCAAACCATCAACTCAAAAGACAATAGTCACGATTTAGTTTCGGTATTGAAATCTCAGCACTCAAGCAAGTCCAATTTTAAGCCCCAATTTAAACCTAAGCTGATTTTTGCACAATCACCAAGGCTCTATTACATAGACACTTTTCAAAGTTTGACACTATTTATCTAACATTAACTTTTTTAAATAAGTATTACATTGTACATCTGCCTTTTTACTATTTACAAAAAAACTCCAAAAATATCTACCCAATCTGAGCATGTCACAATGACATCCAGGGGAGAATATGGTTGTGTTCTTTTAATGTTTAGAAATATTTGAAGTTTTTGTAGTTAAATATTTTATGAGAAAAATAAGGTATTTTTATCAAGACCATGCGTATGTGTTGTAAAAGTGAACAAAACATCACGCAGAGACAAAAAAATCTCCATATCTGACGCAAAATGCCGCAAATCTAAAGCCAAGTTAAGAGAACTCTACCCACGCAAATTAGACAGTAAGTAACCTTTTTACTCAAAACTACCCAGACACAAAAACAAGTAACCGCAAAATTGAAGAAACATTCAACAAACATCGGAAATCAGCAAGTTTAAATCGAAAAGCGAAATCCACCAATGAAAAGTCGAAAAGCGGAAAAATCGAAGCAGATCTAAGTCCAGTGGTACCTTGAGGAATGGATATTAAGGGCATGGAATCACAGTCACAATTGCACGCAGGGCAGGAAGGCGGAGCGGAAGCAGAAGCCAATGCTTCCATCAAGTGCCAATACAGAGGCGGACCTACTATGTACGCCGCCAGACCAACCGCCATCAGCCCCACCACCGCCTTCAGAACCCCAGTTCTCACCCTTGCCATTTCCCCCCTTCCGATTTGCTCCGCAACTACTCTCTCCCACTCTGCAAGCAGACTTACATGCGTGTTAAAATCGCAGAGACGAGACGAGACGAGGAGGGGCGAGATCTCAATGGGAAACAGATGGAAGAAACCGAGAGAAAGTCTACCAAGTTCAACTCGCTTTCTTTACTTGCTTGTTCATCCGGCTGTGTTAATATTTTCACTTTACTTTACTTTTTGTTGTTATCCAAATTTATTGCTGTTTCAGTTTTTTAGGAAAAGAATACCATTTTTTTTTATCAAAAAATTAAAAATTTTTATTTTTATATATATTTTTTTTAAAATTCTGCCATGTCAAATGAACACACAATTGAATGATAGATGAAGTAAAATTTTTAAACATTTTGTTTATATCTACAAAATTGTATTAAAATTTAAGTTAGAGACGGTTATTAAATTTACTTTTGAAAAATAATAAATTATTTATTTTTGTTTTTTTTTATCTATTCATTTAAAAACTAAATTATTTATATGATTTATTAAAAACTATTATAATTAAATTTGATTAAAATAAATATTTAATTAAAATATTTCAAAATATATAATAAAATTTAAATATATGTACAATATATATTAATATTTATTTGATATAATTAAAAATAAGATAAATAAATATTAAAGTTTTGAAGATGTTATAAAATCTTTTATAAAATATTTAGAGGGTATAATATATAATTAGATAAAAGAAAATTTTAACAAAAATTTTTCGTTCCAAATTCTCCTAAATTGGAGAGAAAAAAAAAAAAAAAAAAAAGAGATTGCTTTCCCCCTCTTTCTTTCTCTTTCCTTCCTCTCTAAAAAAAATTGAACCAAATATGAAAAATATTAGAATGGTCACTCATCTCTACCCCTTCCCTCCTAAACTCTCGAACCAAACATGCCTTAAGGGTGTGTTTATAATAGAGAAAAAGTCATCTCGTTTAATCAAATGTTTTCATTTTTTGTTTTATTCAAAATATCAATGATAAACTATTGAATCGCACTGAATCGGACGGAATACGGCATGTTATATAAAATATTGTCGTATTTAAACCTACAGCATCCTAACCGAATCACAAAAAAGGAATTAAATTAAATTAAATATAATGATCTTGATTGTACTAATCTACATAGTACAACCCCACATTACACAACACAACACAACAATAGTTGGAATTCAACTAAGCTCAGCTCATCTCATGTTATTGTCATTAATGTTGACAAGCTTCATATATCTATCTATCCAACATCTTCCCCACACTCACACTCATTTTGCAATCACTCACTCTACTTTCCTCTCAAATTGTGTACGGCAGGTTCGTAAAAATGGAACCCGGCGCCGCCGCTACATGGAGTCTCACCTAAACCTCCGACGACTACAACTCAACAATTGCGCTCCAAACTGTTTCAAGCAAAAGTTTGTCTCTCAACTTTCCCGACCGCCTCCGCCTCCGGTAAGGACCTCATCCACATTTTCGTCAACGTCACTCTGTACTCCGTCTTCCGGATTTCATTTCCAATCTAAATATGGATAGAACGTCACTTCTATAAAGATAAACAATTGTATTATGCCCGTGTTGAATTCGGTCAGATGTCTGTAGGTTTAAACAGTTCTGTTCGGCTCAGCTGTCAAATCAGTATTTGTAACTGCCAAGTAACACGGTCGTTAAAACTTCAACGGTGAGACAAAAAAAGATGAGTTTTTTTTGTTTTTTTTTTTTATGAAACTAATTTTGATAATTTTTTTTGCATGAGACCAAAAATAAAAAAATAAAAAATTGAATTTAAATGGGACTACAAATAATTTTTGCTGTTTATAATATTATTTTATACTATCATAATACTATAATTAAAGATTATTATTCTTTATCTCATGGTATAATTAATTAATGTAAAAAAAAATTATTTTATCTTCCATTAATACATGCGTACTGACTAATAAATTTATCATTTAATTAAAAATATTGTAATCAAAATTAATAATTTTATACAATAATTAATTCTAGTAAATATTAGATTATTTTATCATATAATTATATAATCTATTAAAGTAATACTCCAAAGGATTCATTTTCCTCCGTCTCACTCAAAAGTATCAATTTTTTATTTTAATAAAAATAATTATATACCAATACCAAAATATCTTTAACATTTACCTAAATTACAAACATATCATTACATATACAATTACTTTTTACATAAAGTCATAGGGCAAAAATGTCAAAACTTCTTATATACTTTCACTAATTAATAAAATACTACTCCATCCGTCCTAATACAATAGTTTTGTTTACCATTTATATCCATCCCAAAAAATAGTCTTATTTTCAAAATAATCATATCACCATAAAATTACCCCTATTTTTTCATTTTTATTACACAATTGCCACTATTTTTTACACTAATACACTCACAAGAGCAAAAAAGTCTTTTATCTATACTTTTTACCAACTACCAATATAGTATCAATATTTCTTAAACCTCGTGTCCAACCCAATTAAGACTATAATTTTGGGACGAAAAAAGTATTATTTATTAATCTATTACAAAATTCCAAATGACCCATTTAGATTGGGATTGACAGAGTATATGTATTATAATTTTATCATACAAAGTAAAGTAAGTCTTAAATTTCTATATATCTGGAAGTGACTCACAGTCCGGGCCCTGGCCAGGGCCATTTTCTCCAGGGGCCATAAAAGCCCCCAATTATATATATACTCTTATATACTTAATATATAAATATATACTATTATTATTGTTAAATGTTTTAAAGAATAAATAAATTTATTTTTTAAATAAAAAAATTTATTTCATATTATTTTTAAATAAATTATGTTTATATTAATTTTTTTATTATTTATTTATATGTTTTAGTGTGTTTATTTAATTGTATACTTTATATATTTTTGTTGTGAATTATGTAAAATTACGAAGATACGATAGAAAATAATATTTTGTATTTTTTATATTTTTATTTTTATGGTTATATATTTAAATTTGTATATTCTATTATATTTTTTGGTGATATTTTTTAAAAATTGTGTATTATATAATGAGTTTATTTTTTTACCAAAATTTTTTCAGAACAGTTTTTCAGAAAAAGTAATACTCCCTTCGTTCCAAAACTATAGTTTGGGTTGTGTTTGGCACGAGATTTAAGGAATATTGATATTATATTGGTAGTAAGTAAAAAGTATGGGTAAAAAACTTTTTTGTCTTTACGAGTGTATTAGTGTAAAAAGTAGTGGCATTATGTAATAATAATGAAAAAATAAGGGTAGTTTTACAGTCATATAATTATTTATAAAAATGAGACTATTGTTTTGACACGGACAAAAATGGTAAACAATACTATTGTATTGGGACGAAGAGAATATATTACTTGAGAGGTTTTGATTTTGACTTTTGATTTTGAATAGTAGAATTTGGAATTGAAATAAATGTTTGATGTGATATAAATATATATAAATGTGATGTTTTGAATGTAAAATTAGATTTTAGTATAATAAAATAAATGAAAATTGAGTGTTTAATTTGATATTTTTGAAGGGAAAATAAAATTGGAATAGTAAAATCTTAGAAGGAAACACAACCAATTATTTTTTTATTATTTACATAATATGTTATACCTTATATTAAATTTTTTTTTTTTTCAAACCAAAATACAAAACAAAACACTCTAAATAATACTTTTGTTTGAAAATTTCTTTTAAAGATTTTGATTATTTATAAAAAAATTTCTTTAAAAAATATTAAATCATAGAGTATTTTTTTTTTAGATTTTTTATATTATACTACAAAATATCACATTAATTTTATTTATATTTTGATATTTCAATATATAAAAATTAATTTTATTTTAACATTTACATTAAAAATGTGTAAAATTATTTTTATTATAATTCTAATATAAAAAAATATATTTAGGGGCCCACTATTTCAATTTTACCCCGGGCCTAAAAAAAATCATGAACGCCTGGTGACTCATGTATTTTGGATAAATACATTCTAGTGTCAAGCAAATATACGGTGGAGATTATATGCTGAATTATAAATTCAGCATCTTTGTAGAATAGTTAAAGAGTTATTTATTCTAATAATATTAATAATATATTTAAAATATATAAATTAATACAAAAACTTCACAGCACATTCGCCACCTACCTTGAATATTTTTTCGGCATATAATCCATAGCCGAAAATATATACTCCATTGAAATTAACACACTTATCCTGTCACCAACATTTCATTAAAAAATAATAAAAGTAAAATAACAGTTATAATTATTTTTAAAATTTATTTATAAACTTAAAAATAAATAAATAAAAAGAATATAATAAATGTAACGATATTTATTGTAAATAAATATTAAATAAAAATTAATAGTTAAATAATATTGATTGTACCAAACTTAGTAATGAAATGAATTTAATGGACAAACTAAAATAAAAATGTAAATAAATTTGATAGATGAAGAAAATAATAATATTTTCTTAAATATAAATTACTCATTCCCTCCCATTCCAAATGAATAATTTAGGATTTTTTAATATATTAAGAAATAATAGTATTTTATTAATTATATGTAAGAAGTTTTGATATTTTTGTTATTTAACTTTATGTGAAAAGTAATTGTATGCGTAATGATAAGTTTATAATTCATTTTCTTTTTAGTCCATTCCACATGACATATTTCTATTTTTAATAATTTATTCATCTTAATAAATATAAATCAATTTAATTAAATTTATAATCATGAAACTTATTTAAAATTCTTTTATTTCTATCTCTATTCAATAAACAAATATTTTTATTTTATTGAAAAATCTCTATTTCCTATAAAATTAATTTAATTTCATTATAAATATATATATATTTTTATTTATTTGTATTATATAAAATTTTATTATTTATAAAATGATATTCATATTGTATATATTTTATTGAAATATAATGCTAATAATATTTAAATCTATATTCTAAATTTCTTTGTAATATTTAAATTAATTTATATTTTTAAAATAATAACAACACTACTTATATAAAAAATAATAAAATAATATTGTTGGCTATAGAATCCTAACAAAACAAATTAAAATTCAAACGAGAAAATGCTTCGAATTTAATGGGTTGGCCTGAGATTACATATGAATTCCTAA